ATTAATCCCAGAGGGGCGGAGTGAAACACATTGGAGGCATGGCCTGGCTGGAGTTGAGACTGCCACACACTCTTCCACAGTGCGTTCTTCATGATGTGCGACTTATGGGACATCTCTCCTGCTACAGGGAGAAATAGGCTTTGGATGGAGGCACTGACCATCCTGCAACAGGAGGGATCCAGATCATAGAGAAAAGTGTAGGATGGTTAGAAGAGCCACTGAGGGTATCCAAAGACAAGTGGGATAAATGGGCTTTGGATGGAGGCACTGGACATCCTATGACAGGAGGAATCCAGATCATAGGGAAAAACAAAGGATTGCTAGAAGAACCACTGAGAGTACCAAAAGATGAGAGGGATAAATGACCTTTGGATGGAGGCACTGACCATCCTGCAACAGGAGGAATCCATATCATAGAGAAAAGTGAAAGATTGCTAGAAGAACCACTGAGAGTACCAAAAGATGAGAAGGATAAATGGGCTTTGGATGGAGGCATGGGGCATCCTATGACAGGAGTAATCCAGATCACAGAGAAAAACAAAGGATTGTTAGAAGAACCACTGAGAGTACCAAAAGATGAGAGGGATAAATGGCCTTTGGATGGAGGCACTGGGCATCCTATATAAGAAGAGATCCAGATCATAGAGAGAAACGAAGGATGTTAGAAGAGCCAATCAGAGTGCCCAAAGACGAGAAGGATAAATGGGTTTTGGAAGGAGGCACTGACTATCCTACAACTGGAGGAATTCAGACCAGAGAGAAAAGAATAGGACTGTTAGAGTCACTAAGGGTACTCAAAGATGAGAGGACTTTGGATGGAGGCACTGACCATCCTGCAATGGGAGGGATTCAGATCATAGAGAAAAGCAAAGGATGGTTAGAAGATCCACTGAGAGTACCCAAAGACGAGAGGAATAAATGGGCTTTGGATGGAGGCACTAGACATCCTACAACAGGAAGAATTGTTAGAAGAAACATCGAGAACTCCCAAAGATGAAAGGGATAAATGGGTTTTGGAAGGAGGCACTGACATTCTACAACAGAAGAGATCTAGATCATAGAGATAAGCAAAGGATTGTTAGAGGAGGCACTGAAGGTCCACAAAGATGAGAGGGATAAATGGGCTTTGGATAGATGCTTTGGACATCCTACAACAGGACAGACCCAGATCACGGTCCAAAAAGAAGGATGGTTAGATAAGCCATTGAGAGAACCCAAAGACGAAAGGGATAAATGGGCTTTGGAATGAGGCACTGACCATCCTACAGGACCATCCTACAGGACCATCCTACAGCTGGAGAAATCCAAATAAACTAAGAATGGCTTTGGATGATTAGAGGAGCCAATAAGAGTACTCAAAGACAAAAGGGACATCAGTTGAGACTACACTGGATGACAGAGAACCAACCGATTGCTTGCTCTCCTGGTCATCTTGATGCAAATTTTTTTTTGTGTTTTCGCTAACTGCTGTTAATATCTTGAAGTGTTGGAGTGTGACACAAAGAAGCAGTACGAAAAGCCAATCAGCTCATGTACTGAGAAAAAGCATGCTGATTGGAGGAGAGAGCAAAGTGACACAGAGATAGGGGGGCAGGCCCAGGGGTTGAATGATGTTGGCCATCAGACTGAGGACACATAGTGGCAGAAAAAGATGCTGTGGGGAAATTTCTAAATTGAAGACAAATATTTGTGTTTTCTTATTTTGTCTTTTAATGAGCTACTCATTTTTCTGTTGATATTTGTGGCTGGAGTTGTGCTTTAAGGATTACAGTGTTTACAAGCTGCAGTTAGCTATGTGGCAGTTGTGCGATCAAGTAGTCAATCCCATGGTAATCCAGTTACAACATAAAGAAGAAGGCGTCTTCTGAGAGGTCCAGGGCCACCAGTTGCTATGGATTCCCGGAGGGGAGCTGCATGCTCCTATTGTTTCCTCCAGACTTAGTCTCTAGGACTTTGGATAAATCTTCCAGCTCAGGCATTTGTTACCCAGGGAGGGGAAGGGGGGGGGGACTGGAGGCATTGTATTTCATATATGAATGGAAGCAGGAACGGACTGACAACTCATGGGGCCCCCGGGCAATAGGGGATCCTGGGGCCCCTGTGTCCTTGCCCCTTTCATAGGGCCCCCTACTGACCCCGTGCCCTCAGGCAGTGCCCCAGTGCTCAAATGGTCAGTCCGCCCCGAATGGAAGGCTGGATAGTTCAGGGCTGGCCGTGTCTATGACATCAGTTCCCAACATGATGACATCTTTTGAACCAGACTGTAAAACTATTTTCATATTCGATTAGTTGTTTCAGCTCTGATGAAGTTCTTTAAGGTCGTCTCAGTCCCCAACCCTCAAGGGGTGTACAGAGATCCCTAACTCACCTTCATACATACACATACTAGGGCCAATTTAGACAGGAGCCAGTTAACCCCCCAGCATGTCTTTTGTGTGTGGAAGGAAACCAGAGTAACCGGAGGAAACCCACGCAAGCAAAGGGAGAACATGCAAACTCCAGGCAGGTGGTGCCATGGTTGGGATTCGAACCAACAACCCGAGTACTGCCAGGTAGGAGTGCTACCCACTTAGCCACTGTGCTGCCCCATGCCACCTCTAGGAGTTTTTCTGTCAGTCTTCAGGAGGTACACCTATAGCAAGGACACTATCCAACTTTGGACAACTGCACAGTTACCTTCTATCTACAGGCGCCCCCTATCTGCAGAGGCATTTGTTGGTAAAGGTGAGCTATGCCTTTAAGTGGAAGCTCAGTGACAGCAGCACTTTGCTGTGGTTTCCCCCTTCCCATTGTTCTTTGCTCTGCTTTGTATTAGTAGTTTGTTTCTGTTATAGTGTTTCTGAGGATTATAAAATCTTGGCAGGAAATTTGCTTAATCATAGAGCTCATGTGGCTGGGGTGGGGGTGGGGGTAGGTGCAGCACGGCTGAACAATGCATTTTCCTGTTGTGAATGTAATTCGCTCTTCATGAACTTCGTTCACCTATTCCCTCCTCTCCCAAACCTGGACTGGCCATGTCCACATCCATGCTGCAACCTTCGCTCCATCTGAGCGTCCCCTGTTATCAGGACCTTCACCGTTCAGTCAGGACTTTGCAGGCTGCGGTCATGACTTTAACCCCCGGTTCAAACCCTGACACATCCCTATATACAGCAACAGTATTTTTTTTTTTTTTTTGGAAACCTTTCACTGACACCAATGATGGGGCACTATTCCTTCCATTAACAGCAACAACGAAGCACTATTCCTTCCACTGACACCAATGATGGGGCACTATTCCTCCCACTGACACCAACAATGGGGCACTATTCCTCCCACTGACACCAATGATGGGGCACTATTCCTCCCACTGACACCAATGATGGGGCACTATTCCTCCCACTGATACCAATGATGGGCACTATTCCTCCCACTGATACCAATGATGGGGCACTATTCCTTCCACTGACACCAGTGATGGGGCATTATTCCTCCCACTGACACCAACGATGGGGCATTATTCCTCCCACTGACACCAACGATGGGGCACTATTATTTACACTGGCACCAGCAATGGGTTATTATTCCTTTCACTGATACCAACGATGGGGCACTATTCCTTCCACTGACACCAACTATGGGCACTATTCTTTCTGCTGACACCAATGATGGGGCACTATTCCTTCCACTGACACCAACTATGGGCACTATTCTTTCTGCTGACACCAATGATGGGGCACTATTCCTCCCACTGGCACCAACGATGGGCCACTATTCCTCCCACTGACATCAATGATGGGCAATATTTCTTCTGCTGACACCAGCAATGGGGCACTATTCCTTCCACTGATACCAACGATGGGCCACTATTCCTTCCACTGACATCAATGATGGGCACTATTTCTTCTGCTGACACCAGTGATGGGGCACTATTCCTTCCACTGACACCAACGATGGGGCACTATTCCTTACACTGATACCGACTATGGGGCACTATTCTTTACACTGACACCAACAATGGGGCACTATTCCTTACACTGACACCAACGATGGCACACTATTCCTTACACTGACACCAGTAATGGTGCACTATTCCTCCCACAGACACCAACAACAGGGCACTATTCCTTCCACTGACACCAATGATGTGGCACTATTCCTTCCCCTAACACCAAAAAGAAGGGCACTATTCCTTCCAGTGACACCAAAAATAGGGCACCATCCCTTCCACTGGCACCAGCAATGGGGTACTATTGCTTCCGCTGACACAAATGATGGAACACTATTCCTCCCCTTGACACCAACGATGGGGCACTATTCCTTCTCCAACTGACCTCAAGCACTATGTAATTTTCTTACTCCCACAGATTTTGGGGCATTTTCTACTCCACTGGCATTTCGCATGGAAAGCTTGGAACCCGAGAGAGTTGCAAAGGGAACTTGCTCTGCTCTTGCATGGTCTAGGCTGCCAACCAGCATGGTGTTGTGAAGGCATGGAAACCCATCACTTGGGTTTATGACTGAATTTGCTCACTACCTCAACTGTTCTCTCATTCAAAGTAAAGAAAAAAAAATTTTTCAGTTTTTTGTAAAGTTTTTTTCTTGAAAAACAGCCTGTTATTTTTTCATTAGACCATAGTTCTTATTTACCATCATACAATTTATAACATCCAGAAAGAGTCCAACATTTCTTGTAAAGGTCTCTTGCATCATTATTTTGTCTTAAAAGTCCATGAAAATCTGAAGTTTGCTCCAAAGAGCTCAATATTTACAGATGGTGGTTTTGGTCCTCGGTTTCCAGATGATGGTTCTTGACCTGGGTTTGCAGATGGTAGTTCTGGGCTTGCCTATGGTTGTTCTGGTCCTGGGTTTACAGATGATGGTCCCTGAACTGGGTTTACAGATGGTAGTTCTGGGCTTGCATATGGTGGTTCTGGTCCTGGGTTTCCAGATGATGGTTCCTGACCTGGGTTTGCAGATGGTGGTTCTGGTCCAGAGTTGTAGCTCTAATTGGTTCCTTGTTACATACGGAAGGTGAGATCCGTGTCAGACATTTCCCTCTGGTAATAGTCGTCAAATATCTCGTTCTGGGTTACGGTGAATTGGTTCTTCCAGTCACCAAAAATTCCTTGAGGGTGGAAAGAGATGTCATGTGAGGTATCATTGGGGACTGCAAATGCATACTTAGAAACATTATGGTGCTAGATCCTGGGACACTGTTAACCCTGCCCACAGTCTAAAGTTTGCCCAACAACATTCTGGGTGGGTGTGCACAAATCACGCCCAGACCACACGTCTTAATCTGTGAGGATTGCCTACCACGCCCACTTTTCTAGTTGGTTCCACCTAGATACTTCCCACTCGAATCCCCAAACCCAGTTAATCCCTTTTTGAGCTACTTCACAAGGTTGATGCTTTGATCATGGGGCATGGCCCGGGACACAACATCACCAGGACAGAGGACCAAGATGTAGGACTGCTCCAGCAAATCCAGGATAGTTAGCATCCCTACACCCATATCATCTTTATATAGGTTTTGATGCAAATAACAATTCTTTTAAAATTATTTATAATGTTTTTTTTGTATGTGGACACAAGAAAAAGTTTCCACTCTTTGTAATGCACACACTTAAATTTGGAATTTTGTTGTTGATTGTGCCAATACTTGTATAATAAAGAAGAGGGAAAATGAAAAGCTACAGTATGTATAGAAGATTGCTAATTCTTACCTTTCCTCATAAACGGGGATATTGAGTGATCCATGAATGGGAAGGTACTATAGTTGGCCATGGGGTTGTCCTTCATAGCCTGGAAGGAAGTGTTCTTGTGTATATTTTCAACAATCTCTTCAGGAAGTTCCTGATTCATGAACTTCATCACCTTTCGGATCTCACGTTTTGGATCCTAACCAAAGAGGTTCGGGGAGAGTCAATAAGATTCAATTTCTTCTTATCTGTCAAGAGCTCTCCAAATGATAGCAAGCAAAGTCACGTTACCTCCAACATGTCCTCGTAGAACAGGTACAATAGCCTGTGTTTTTTCCTCATCTCCCACCAGCCCTTCACATGTTTGGCCCATGATCCAAAAGCAACTGCCAGACAAAGCAAACACAAGTTTGAGAGAATGGCCATGAAAGAAAGTAACAAAACATTGCAAAAGTCTCCGAAACGTATAAGCATGTTTACCAGTCTACCCATTCCATGATACAGAACATGGACATTTCTTGGGAACTACCATTTTCTAAAAGACCAACTACTGACTCACGTACCATTGCCCTCCATGTAGGTATTTAGATATTCATCCCATGTCCCAGGCTCTGGATGTCCATAGGCCATTCTGTAGAAGTGATAGTACGATACCGCTACATCCTTTGCATTCCTAGCTATGTAGATCATCTAGAAAAAGATGGGAATGACTTTTACACTTCTGTTTCCAAAGTAAGAAATGTCACGTAGAAATGCAATTGTTGCATTCTCAAGACTGAGGAAGACAGATCTATTGGTAAAGCCTCATACTTGAGCCTTGCTTAGTATTACCCTTTACATGCTAAACTGGGAAGCTTTCTTGAAGCCGATAAACCACTCACCAGCACCAGTCTGGTAGTTTTTAATTCAGATCTTGCCATGGAGGAAACCTATGGTTACCATATTTTCAAAACAAAATCTGGAGACACCCTACTGACCATACCCACTTTTAGCTGCACCTGCATAGCCACATCCTGATTTGTAGGCACACCCACAAAATCATACCTCCATTTTTAGCAAGCCCTTAGACAATAGGTCAAAGATTTTTGGAACAAGAGGCAAAGGGTATAAAGACAAAGTGAACAAGTTTCAAATAAGAAGCAGCATGCCTAGTCAGGAGGAACACCTTGAAGGTATCAAGAAGAACACCTAGGAGCCCAACAGCTAGGAGCATGACCAATAAAGTGGGTGACACATCATGGTGTATGGCTTGTAGTATGGGAGTAAACTGAGCTCCGACATTGGTGTTATTGGCAGCATTAGTAACCACCAGCATGGTGTAAATGGCTGCAATAATCCCCCCTCTATTGGTGGTCAGTGGTAGGGATGTTATCCCCTCAGCATTGGCAGCAAGTGACTGACTGTAAGAATACCCCCCTCCCAGCAATGTTCATTGTGTTTTACCTGACCACATCCTCCCATGCCAAGCACTCTTCCAGTCCGAAGGGATTAGAATTCAACAGTCAGGCGGAGGTCACTCTGCCTAACAGTTATGGCTTCTTTCAGTGGTCCTGGAATGAAGATAATGTTTCGGCACACCTCTGCCACGCTACCTATCACAGGCGGCCACACCAGGGCACCCTCCAAGTGGTGTTATTCAATGAGGACCCCTCTTTTTCCAGGTACACCACAACAACTGGGAACATCATGGAGGATGCTTGATTGCTGGAGACAGGCCCCTCAAAATGGGGACTGTCCTTGGAAAACGGAGGTGGATGGGAACAATAGGGTAGCCTATGATTATTGTCTAAGAGAGGACTTTTCCTATTTTGTATCAGATTCTAATTGCTTCCTGTTGTGCTTTTGATACAGGAAGTAGAGGAAAGTATCCCCTGACAGGACGAAAAAGCTGACATGGGTTTAACCCTTCCAAACTATGAAAAAAAAGTTTAGATTCACTTTATTGAGATTAAATGTTCCAGGTTTTAGAGGAGCTTGAAGCTCACTTAAAGCTTACTGATGCTGTCAGGGATCGCGGCTCCGGACTCCTGTGTCACGACGCCGTCCCCCGCGCATGCGCACTGGCGGCGGATCGCGCCGGGACACGGGCACTAACAGTGCAGGGAGCGCACTATTTAAAGATGCCCTCTGCATATGTCATCACAATTGCCGCAAGGGTCTTCCTGTGATCCTGAGTTCCTGCACCCGTTTTGTGACCCTGTTTTGACCCTGACTACGCTGCCTGCCCCTGTGATTGACCCTGCTTGGCCCTGACTATTCCCTACCCGCTCCTGTGATTGACCCGGATTGTCCTGACTATTCTGCTTCAGCCCGCTCCTGTGTTTTGACTCGATTATCCTGACTATTCTATCTAACGGACTGATTTACCTGGCTGACCCCTGCATGTGACCCGACTACTCATCTGTCCCGCCGATTCAGTACCCCCGCTTACCCCAAAAATATCATACGGACCACTATCCGTACCACCCTGCTGGTGGCCATGCCGATCCTCTTCATATCTGGCTCTCCCGGTACCCCTATACACTACACATCTCCGGGAGGCCTCACTCATGAGCTTGCTGGTGGGCCCGCTCAGAGGTCGTGACCTGGCCGGGACTTGTTTCAAGTCCATCCCCCACCATCAGGTCGGCCCTGGTGAAGGCACAGCCGGGCTTAGATACCATGCTCTGGGTTGGTCTGTCAGTTGGCAGCTGGAAGGGCTCTGCCTGGCGGATCATAACAGTACCTTGCAGGCCATGACAGAGCCAGAAGTGGACCGGCCGTCCTAGAGGATATTTGCCAAGCAACCTGGCAACTTTGACCAGTGCTTTCCAGAACTTCCACAGTCGCTGCGCCCGACTGGAGGACCGCATGGAGACGTTAAGCCCCCCAGACTCCCCTGCTCAGAGTTCTCCATCTGTGGAACCTCTCCGCCCTACCCCGGCATTCCGGATCGGACGTTTGCACACGCCCTCAGACTCCCTGAGCCCCCGCGTTCCCCTGTGCCGGAAACGGGTTCCGTGTGTGACCGGAGCCGCTTCCGAGCCTTCCGAAACGACTTGCACCCTGTATTTTGACTTGCAGCCCCGCACATCCGCATCACCGACGACCGTCAAGGTGTGGGGTTTTATAGTCTCTCTCCTTCAGGATGAGCCCCAGGATTGGGTCTCACCGACTGATGGAGAGCGCTGCAGACTCCCAGCTTGACTCCGTGTGACCGAGTTCTTTTCGATTAGATAGGCAATCATGGCGAGTATTGTAGTGAACGACCCTCAGCGGAGCCTTGCCTTCCGCAAGAGGCTAACCATATGTATTGTCTCTGCGGCAAGGTCCGACCGTGCAGCGAAAGAATACGCATCCGATTTTTAGGCGAAGCACTTGGGAGGAACACCAGATTGGAACGATGCGGCCTTCCTTATGTCCACCAGTACCTGCATCGGTACTGTCCTGAATCTCTCCAAGGACGAACTTGCCTCGAGTAGGCCTACGTCTGAACTCCCTGGAAATAACTGATTGAGTTGGGCCACTCCCAGATTTGACCGTAAGGTTAACGGGAACGTTCCGGCTGGAAAGGAGCTAGCCATGGTCAAAGGTGGTGTCATGGTATCCCACCAAGAGACACTAGCTCCAACCCCAGGGCTCTCCATCTCCGAAGCACGAAATCGGTGGCCAACCCCGTATACACATGCAACTGGGACTAGGTCCCGATTCCCACTTATTCGGTCCGAGTAAGCTGTCAAAAGGATAATTGAATCGCATGAACCTATCTTCCAGTACTGCGGGGAAGCCTGGTCATTCAGGTGCCGCTTCCTGACCCTGCAAAAATGAGTAATAAGTCCCGCTTCTCTTTCTCTTTACCTTACGCTGCAAGGGATTAGGATGATTCAGGTCAAATTACTGGCCATACCTGTGTCTTATACAGCGCCCGGGAAGTGGGGATAACACTGTCTAGTGACCCGCAATCGTTGACGATCAGGAGCTTGATAGTTGTTTTAATCAGACCCCCCCTGAGATCTTTTGCCAGCTCTCACCCAGGAACAATAAAATACCACTTTCTAGACCAAAGAAAGTGGGTTTCAAACATCTTCTGCAAGATCGGGTCGCAGTATAAAATTCAGGGTTGCGTGCGACGACAGAGGGACACCACCCATTTTTCACCACTAATGGTCAGAGCCATTCACCAGGAGTTCCACCGTCTTGGAATGCCAATCATGCATTCTCCCCTAGTTTCCAGTCATTTACTGGGTGCTCCCGTTGGCCCCTGCGGGCCCATAACCCGAACCCCTAGGATTTGAACTTGGGAAAGGGGAACGATTCATTTCAGGTTCAACCTTACTGTTTGAATCTCTGCCACGTCGCAGGTTTCCGTGGTGTGTCCCTGGTTGCGCATCCCTGGTGCGTTGGATTGGCCACTCTATTCCCAAGACCGATTCCCACCCCCCGGAGAGCCTACCATGATCTTCTTAGACGTTTTCAGTAAGCGAGGATGCTGTACGTTCTTCCCCCGCAACCGTTCATATACGATTGCCCCATAGACCGTCCTACCCCGGATCTTGATATCTCAATTCGGACCCGTTATCTTTGCCCTTGTCCGAAGCAGTATCAGGGAGTACTGAGCGGAATAATTTTGACGAGAACCTATTAAGGAAGGGAATTTATTCGTCCCATTACCACATACACCAGCGCGCGGGTTCCTGGGTAGTTCTTCGCTACGAGAAGAAGGACAATATCGTTGATGGCCCGTGCATAGACTAACCATGATTCTGAACAAGATAAGCGGTTTTAAAAAAAATCGTTATCGCGCCTTAGCACCTATAGTCCTCCTGTAGCTCCCTCCAGAGATTAAGGATCAGCCACATGATATTTACTTTCAACTAGACCTGACGGCGGAGGCCATATAACCTAGTCCGCTAAGCAGGGATGGGGCATGAGTTGGTAAGACGGCCTTCCAGTAACGAGATCATCGCGTCACTATGAATATTTAAGTGATGGCCGTTCGGGCCTCTGTTAATGTCACTCGGCAACTTTCCCAGCAATTTTATCAACGATGTTTTTCGTGATTTCCGTCGATGTTTTTGTGGTGGTTTATTTAGTATGACTATCCTCTAATTGTTCACGCTCTCCTTCACTGGAGGTACATCCGAGGATTCACGTATTACGGGTATTTTAGAAACGGTGCTTTCGGCAAACACAGGGCAATACGCCACGGCAGAAAAACCGGGGATCAGAAAAGTAGCTGTTTTCGAGCAACGCTGCGAAATCCACGTTCTTGCGAGACTGGTTCACATTCTATCCGCGGGGGTCTGCGATGAGATCCCCAGAAGTTCACTCCGTGCTGACGATTCGTAACGCTATGCGATTGCCAAGTACCCTCCGATAAAAAGGGTGGTTACAGCATCGTTCATCCGGCTTTTCCAACTTTTATAGAAAGGTTTGTGTTAGGAAAACTTTCTCCGGTCTGTGTCTCCCCCTACCCCATCTCCCCGCCCCCTCCCCCCGTCCACCCTCCCCCCCCTTCTTCCCTTCCCCTCACCCCCCCCGATCACTGCAATCTGACGAACAACTGGGTGTCATGACTTTTAATTGGACTCTCGAAGACTCAGAACGGCGTTCGAGAACCTCAAGAATATTGTTCAACTTCTGCGTTCCTCATTCGTCTGCACCCGGATTCTTCCTCTCACATACTGTCCTTGGAAGTGTGGACGCGCTCC